GGCCATAACTTTTTCGTTATAACTCGGATTTCGGCGTTCTTTATATGTACGGAACCCTTGTAACATATACTAACACTTGGTTAAGATTAATCCTTCTAAATAATCTTCCACCAAAAAGTCATTTTTGATGCTTATTGTCTTTAAATTGACTAGCCCGGATCTACGGGTGTTACATTTGCTACTTGAATGTTACTTGTAGTATTTGGTACTTGAATCTTATGTTATTTGGTATTTGACTTTTATGTTATGTTTTTTGGTACTTGAATCTTATGTTATTTGGTACTTGAGATTTATGTTATGTTATGTTCGTTGGTACTTAAGTTTTATTTTTATGTTATTTGGTACTTGTGTTGATTAATAGGTTCTTAATGGATCACGACAAAAAGATACTTCTCATAATTCTAATGTACTTGTACATCCGCTACTTTTGGAAGAGGGGTGTCAAACGAGTGCGGGACAACGATTCGGAAATGATGGGACATGAATTTACGTTAGAGTTACTTCACCGTAATCCTCTACAATGTGTTGAAGTACTACGCATGTCCCGTGAATCATTTGTCCGACTATGTGCTCATTTTAGAGTAAACTACGCGTTAAAGGATAGCAAACATGTGTCGGTTGAGGAGAAGATGGTTATGTTTTTGATGATGATCGGTCATAACCAACGTTATGTGATTATCAAGCGGAGATTTCAACTCTCAAAGCAAATGATTCATAAGTTTTTTCATGAAGTGTTGGACAAAATGTTGCTTTTCGCACATGACATTATAGTACCAACTTCTTTTAATCCGAATCCAAACATTCCGGGACATAATAGGAGGCTACGACGGATATTCAAAGGAGCAGTTGGTGCACTTGATGGCACTTTGATACATTCTGTTGTCCCTGCAAGCAAACGAGATTTATATAGAAGTAGGGTAAAAGACGATTGTTACCAAAACGTATTGGCAATATGTGACTTCAACATGATGTTTACGTTTGATGTGGCCGTTTGGGAAGAGATAGCACACGATTCTAGAATATTATCAGAAGCATTAGCAAATCCACATGCACCATTCCCGTTACCACCATCAGGTAAGTTTATGGTTATTTAAATAGTTTTATCTTAGTTTGAAAAAGAAATGATTTTTATTTATTTATTTATTTATTTTTTCCTTTTTACAGATAAATATTATCTTTGTGATGCCGTCTATGCAAACATTCGAGGTTTTATGACACAGTACTGTAATGTGAGGTATTGGCTTGGAGATTTCCGTCGAAGACGTGCATTAACGAATAAAGAAAAATTTAACCATGCACATGCAAAACTTCGAAACGTCATTGAGCGTGCTTTTGGTGTCTTGAAAGCACGATTCACTATATTGAAGAGGATGACACCATTCTCGTTGGTTACACAACGAAACATTACCCTTGCATGTTTCGCGCTTCATAAGTTTATAAGAAGAGATGGACTACGTGATGAGTATTTTGCACGATATGATGAAACAAATGTCTCGGTTCGAAATAACAATGCAGTCGTTGATGATGATGAAGATGAGATTCCAACACATAGTACTGCAGCGGACCGTGAATATATGACCCAGTTACGGGATGAAATTGCCGAGCAATTGATGCAAAATATCGAATGAGAATTATTAAAGTTTGGTTGTATGAACTTTATTGCAAAATGTTATTGTAAGACTAATTTGGTTGTATGAAATTTATTTCAATGTTTTAAGACTACAATTATTAAATTTTCTGTGTTTAAAAACCATTTTCGATTTATTAAATTAGTTTATTTTAATTTTTTAATGTCTACAAAAGTTAACAAAAACAAACACGCTTTTTATTACAGGCTGCAGCCGTTTGGTCCACATCTTCTGCTGCAGAGGTTTGCAGATGTGGTCCGCAGACTTTATGAATTTTTACTTCAGAAAAACAAATAGCACCTTAGTATCACAAGAATCCAATAGGGTAATTAATAGAAACCATGATAATTTTAATCATTCTTTACTTTATATCTATTTTGATATTCTATCAAATGTATAGCATTTAATCCATGAAGGTTACTACTAATTAGCTCCATCATTTCATATATTTGTCCCATCACTACAGCATTATACTTAATAATCCAGCACTTTTTAGTTCTTGTCATTAATATGATTTACACATTCTTTATAGCTCATGTGAAT